TCGAGTCACCTCGTACTTATTTAGCGACTTGTTAAGTTGGGATTTAAATTAACAAAGCACATAACAAGTCGCCTAATATATATGAGGCGACTTTATAGGCTAACAAGTCGCCCCATATATGCATGCGACTCTATAACTCGACTTATTTGGTGGTTTAAATTAGATTTTCAAAGTCACCTGTACATAAGGTGCAACTCAAAAACCTGTCAAGTCGCTTTATACATATTAGGTGACTCAATAGGTGATTTTTGTTAGCTATGCTCTCACCTAATGAGTCGCCTAATATGTATAAGGCGACTTAATAGGTTAATGAGTCGGACCTTATATGCAGGTGACTTTGAAAATCTAATTTAAGCCACCGAATAAGTGAGGTTATAGAGTCACATGCATATATGATGCGACTTGTAAACCTATCAAGTCACCTCATGTATATTAGGTGACTCGTTAGGTGCTTAGTTGATTTTAACTCCAACTTAACAAGTCGCCTAAGTAGTTAAAAGTGATTCAATATGCTTACATGTTGCACCTTATATACAGGCGACTCTAAAAGTCCAACTTGTTAGGTGCTTTATTATATGACCACTATCTAATAAGTCGCCTAATACGTAAGACGCGACTCGATAGGTTTATTCTTACGATATATTTAAAATAGTTACAATGTCATATATATTTGTAAAGTAACTTTAGCACATGGCAAGAACTTCAACCTTTCAGGCAAAGAACTAGAGATCAAGCATGCTAAGTAGCATAAACATTAACATTATATGAGCTAAAAAAAAGTAGTTGGAAAAAGATGTTAATTTTTTTATGTGTCGCCTCTTTCAACACAAGTGACACCATAGGTTAGCCTATAAAGTTGGAAGCTATTGTATCGGTGGCTGTAAAGTCGCCTTTGAGGCGACTCGTTAGGTCATTTACAGGAGACTTGATATGGGTTTTTTGTAGTAGTGAATGTTCATACTATCAGTAACTAGTGACTAACTTTCACTACCCAATTTGTTGCAATATTGAACAACATTCAATGTCTAACATGTTAGCCTATAAAACTTCCTCCTTCCCTGATTACCTCACATGTGAACCAAAAATTTTTTGGTCCAATAAAAAGGTTGCAACATACTTTGTATATGTATCCTATTACTAATTACTATTCCATGCTTGGGTTGGGGGTAATACATTAAGGGGGTAATAAAAGTCAAACTAAGCAAAATGAATGTCATTGTCTTACATGCCAAAAGAACTGTTAATCTTTTGGCTCATAGCGTGGCTGCCATTGGAAGAGCTCAACCTATTTCGGTTCCCCTAAAGCTACACCACTTTGCTGCAAATGAAATATTTAATGTCTATGCTACTAAGATTCCTGAAGATAACTCTCCTTAGGACTTGCGACTAGTTTATTAGCTATCCTTTTGCGTTTTAAGATAGCTTCTATTTTGTTTTATGCATCGTATTATCTGGTTTTGTATAATTTAACTCTATCTTTTGTTGGATGCTACAAGCATTTCTATCATTAGTGTTAGTTGAAACGAACACTACAAGAGGGGGAGGTGAATTGTAGGTGAGTTCCTAGTGACTACTTTTGCAAAAAATATAAAAGAATATAAAGAAACTTTGCAATGCACACAGGATTTTACGAGGAAACCTTCCAGGGCCCAACTGGAAGTAAAACCTCGACCCTTCTCGGGGATTTCCAAACCGAACCAATCCATTATAATAGGACAAAAACCAAGTTACAAACCTATTATAAAACAGACCTTTACTCACAAGTTCCAGACTGAACTTGCTACATAGTAGGAACCTATCCTACCCAACCCAAGTTCCACACTTGGATTCACTCGTACTATCACAGTACTACATCACAGCTTTTCACTCAAAGCTCACACTCCTGTATGCAATATAAATTTCACACACACACCCAATAACCCAACCAATACAAAATATAGACACCTAAAATATGTTAGCCAAGCAATGCACGAAACCCGAAACTAATAAGACAAGATAAAAAGCTTGACAAACTTACACAAATTAAGCTCAAAGATTTCTTCACACAAAAACTCACAAAAACTTATGAAATGTGATCTCTACTATTTATACAAGATTAACTCGTATAGCAAGTAGGGTTTTTCAAAAGATAAATAAGTTAATTTAACTAAGTCACAAAATATAGTTTTATGTAAATCAATTTATAGAAAATCTTTTCGGAAAATAAGATAAAGAAAGTTATGGAAAACAGAATAATATCTTTTTGTTAAACCGATTTTAAGAAATAAAAACAATTAGAAAATCTTTTCTTAAAATCTATCTTTTATCTTTTCCATATCTATATCTATACTTAGTATTTAAAAACTATAACCAAGAAACTAAGAAGACACATGTCCCCATCCATTCTATTACACTTCTCTAACCATAGTGCCACATGTCATCTTACACTAATAATTTTTTATTACACCATTTTTTTTAATTCTTTCATTAAACTTATACTTCATCTTTTATACACACTTCATTTCTTCCCTTTAATTCAACCTTTTCCTATTCTCTCTTTAATTTTAGCCCTTCCACATTTTATTTAAGCCTCTTTTTCGATTTAAGTTCCAAAATTTTAATTTCTTTAATCATGTTTCCCATTACATATTATACCCTACAATGACTTACTGAATTTTCCTCACTTATCCCTCAATACAATTTTTCTGATTACATATTATACCCTATAATGACTTACTGATATTTTCTTACTTATCTCTCAATACAATTTTATATGAATAACCCGTGCATTGTACGGGCCAGAAGGCTAGTTCTAATTAAATTTGCCAAGCAACTTGTCACGCTTCTAATAAGTTTCGTGCATATCTACTTAACATATTTAACAATAAATCTAGAAGATAAAATCTTAACTACATAAATATTGATGTGCCGCGTTTCTGTAATTGTGGATTACTTGGGCTTCACGCAGACCAGAAGCAAGTTCTTGCTGTCACTTTTGCTCTAGTCTTCAACTGGAACTTCGCAGGCTAAGTTCTTTCCAGAACTTACTATCTTCAGCTTGCTTTCTCCAAGTTCCTGTTAGGGAACATTCCTGTTAAGGAACTCAGTCCTTGTTAGAGAACTCTTCTTCTACTTTGTTTGACTTTTCCTCAAAGGTCTCGTCATGTCTTCTTAGCTTGGGTTACTCTTTCACCACCAAAGTCTACTTCACCTATACTAATCAAACACTTGTAAACCTTTATGAGTTGAGTTTGCTTTAGTTTAAGTTCATCATCATCAAACCTTTAAGCTTCAACAATTAGGTTTGTTAAGTTTTGGGGTTTAAGCCCCCCGTAATGTTATATATGCTATTTCCATTTTGCGTAAACAAAAGATGGTGTGATTATAAAAAAGTTATGTAGTGATGGTATAGTGTGAGGTGAAGAAAGAGAAATCAATACTCTCATTATGGGGGTAATTGTCACACTAGAGGGAGGGTGGGTAACTATTACCTTTATTATAAGAGTAATAATTCCTTCATCTCTCTCTTTTCCTCATAGCACAACACCTTATATCATTTGTAAATACTATGTCTTCCACAACACCACCTCTAATTACTTTTGTTTTTTCAAGTTTGACTTTTATTACCCCCTTAATGTATTACCCCTAATCCAAGCATGCTTTTAGGGGTAATTGATAGCATTTATAAACTATAAATAAAAATTGAACAAGGCAACTGTGTTGATTTTCAACTTTTGCTATTCTTCTCCTATCTTACAAACAGTACATCTTACAAAGCCTGATAACTAAGTTCTTTGATAGTTCATAGTCTTCGTATTATTTATGCTGCAACTACAATATTTTGTTAGACATTGAATGTTGTTAGATTTTACATTTAACGTCGTCAATTACATTTACCTAACAGTACAACTCGAGTACTCAACAATCCTCACACATGTCCAATCACCAGAACAGTCATCAAACCATTCACCACAAAATTGCAATTTTGCCACTAGAGAAACCAAAAACGTTTCTCAATAAGAGAAACCGGGTGCGCCCGAGCCTGAGTGTTGATACTCTTGATTGGGAGGATGAGTGTTGAACCGACGAATATGTGAGCATTCTTTTATCCCACACTAAAAAAGACTAAAGGGGGAGTGTAGTGGGCGGTAATGGAATCCCATATTGAAAGAATTTAAGAGTGACCACTACAATATAAGGCTAAGGGACTACTTCCCTCATTGCCATATGGTTTTGAGGTGGAACCTCCTTGAACTAGTAAAGTGGTGGACTTGCACTCCCTCGTGACGAGTGTGGCTCATATCCGTATTTAACATGGTATCAGAGCTAGCTTCACGATCTCATGATTGGGGCCTTAATGGCTAAAGTATACATGGATAAAAATTATAGACAACTCACATGTGAGGGGGAGTGTTGAGCCTACGAACAACTCACATGTGAGCATTCTTTTATCCCGCACTAAAAAAGACTAATGGGGGAGTGTAGTATTAATGAAATCCCACATTGAAATAATTCAAGAGTGACCACCACAATATAAGGCTAAGGGGCTAATCCCCTCATTACCATATGGTCATGTAAAGTGGCGGACTTGCACTCTCCGATGATGGATGCGGCCCAGACCCATATTTGACAATGAGGGTCAAAACCCCTAAGAAAAATAAAATATTAGGAAGCTCTCTTCACGAGGGAAATTACTTATGCATCAGAAGAAAGTATAGAGATGAGACTATTACAAGGAACAACATTCATACTATCAGTAACTAGTGACTAACTTTCGCTACCCAATTTGCTTCAATGTTGAACAACATTTTTTTTTTTTGACAGAAGAACAACATTCAACGTCTAACATGTTAGCCTATAGGACTTACTCCTTCCCTGATTACGTCACATGTGAACCAAAATTTTTTGGCCAAACAAAAAGGTTACAACATACTTCGTATATGTATCCTCTTACTAATTACTATTAGGGGTAATTGATAGCATTTGCATACTATAAATATAAAATGAACAAGGCAACTGTGTTGATTTTCAACTTTTGCTATTCTTCTCCTATCTTACCAAACTGTACATCTTACAAAGCCTGATAACTAAGTTCTTTTGACAGTTCATACTATTTTATGCTGCAACTACAATATTTTGTTTGTATTCTTGTATGGTAAAAATCACGATTACAATTTCTTGCAATCTAGCTGATGTAATCAGGCATTGAGGCTCTTGTATAACACTGATGAATTGATGATAAACGGATCGAGCATCCAAAACTAACAGACTGCCTGTTGATACTTGTGACAAAAAACAGTATGTGTAGATGAGTTTAGCAAAATCTTTTGGTTGCTGTCTAAACCTTTATACTAAAAAAGCAGTTGCTCTGAATCTGTACATTTTATGCTTCAGTAATCTCTTCACAATACATCTTCCAAAATGTTGATTTTTTATATTTCTTCATGGACTCCATGCTGCTAAGATTTCCTTTTAGAAGCTGTAAAACCTGAAGAGAGAAGATCAATGGAATAGAGTACGAGTTAAAGTCCCTCACAACCATCCGACACTAATCAAGGATTCACTAGGATTTCACTAATGCTTGGGGGTATGTTTGGACTTGGGATCTCGGAAATTTAACAATTATCTAGCTATTGACAATTTGTTTCAAACACATCAAAGACACAATAGTACTAAAAGTCGACTATTATCTCCGGATAGAGGGAGTAAGTTACAAGCTCAGCATGTGTCTGAGTGCCAACAATGATGCGTATATTATCACACATTTATACAATTGTACTTGGTTCTCATAATCATAACTTCTTGTCTTTAACATCACCTTTCCTATTTGCATCATTTGGAGTAAGTTTCAAGCTCAACATGTATCTATGATGCCAACCTAACTGCCAACAATGATGCATATATTATTGTACTCTGATACAATTGTACTTAGTTTCAGCAATTATAATTTCTTGTCTTTAACATCAACTTTCCTCATTGCGTCATTTTGCTTTTGTCACTTTTTAAAGTTCTTATTTCCTTTTCTAAGTTGATTATGTCATGAAAGTTCCACAGTCTGAAAATACAACAAATAGTACCTGATTCATCTGAGGTCGTCTAATTGAAGAGCGTTGTACACACAAGGCAGCAGCTAAAAGCATAAGCTTCATCTGTTTTGAGTTGAAGCGGTTATCTAGAGCAGGATCAATAAGCTCTCTGATGTTATTCTTTCTTAATAACGGTTTGGCCTAGAACAACAGAACAACGAATGTAAAGAGCATCAGTTGATCAGCCTATACTTTACTACTAGTGAACTGAAGTTCAAGTAGATGACAGGGCTTACCCACAACACAAGGCTTTGCTGTGAGCAATCAAGAGCACGGCGACCAGTAACTAGCTCCAACAAGAGCACACCGAATGCAAAAACATCTGTTTTTTCATCAACTATGCCATGCATCATGAATTCAGGTGCAAGATAGCTGTACAAATAGATATCAGGAAATAAATTAACTAAACCACATTAGATGGAATAATTATGCAATAGATGATAAATCAAATAAGCTTTACATAGTTGATACAAATGAACCCAAACAGCTTATTCACTATACCCAAAAGTTCCTTCAAATTTCAGAACAATGTGATGAGTCCATTTATCCGGTAGCCATTTCGCAAGCCCAAAATCACAAATCTGCAACAATGTCATGCATATTTAGACCAACATAATTCTACCCTGACAAGAAAACACAAAATCACACTCGAATTTGTACCATCTCGGAAACATTACCTGGGGTTCAAAGTCTTTTCTGAGCAAAATATTTGCTGCTTTGATATCTCTATGAATAATTCGCCGTTGACAACCATAATGCAGGTACATTAGTCCCTCAGCAATCCCTAATGCAATCTTATACCTAGCACTCCAATTCAATTTTCCCTTTGAACCTATCATATAAATTACCCTTTAATCAAAACATAAATAATAACACACAATTATTAAACATGTAAAAACACAATGATAAGGACAAACCATGTAACAATGAAGCTAAACTGCCAAGATGTGAATATTCAAGAACAAGATGCATTCCTCCTTCAACACAATAACCAATCAACTTCGTCGTATTAGGGTGGCTAACATGAGCCATTATCCCTAGCTCAGTCAAAAAATCCGCGATCCTTTCTTCAGGCGTGCCACGAGCAAGTCGTTTCACAGCAACAACTTGCCCATCACTCAATACTCCTTTAAAAACTTCAGCATATCCACCCTTCCCAATGAAATTCTCTACACAATTACAACTAAACATATTTCAAAAACATACTTGTATATGACAATATAACACATAAAAAAAACACATACAATCTAATAAAAACTAATATTTAAACTCATTTATTAAACCTTGGCTAAAATTTTTTGTTGCCAATTGTAGCTCAAAAAGAGTGAAATTCCTAGAAGGTGAATCAGCATTGCCAAAATAACACCTGTTTGACATTGAAAACATCGAACTCGAATTCGAATTCTCCCTCATACTATTACTTCTCAACCCTGATAACTTGGGCACATTTAGAGACCCCAATGCAGGTAATTGCTTCTTGGATTTAGACCTTAACAAGTCCATAAAACCGCGAAAACGAGAACCCGTTTTCGGGTTTTTCTGGGTTTCATTTGCATCATTGGATGAATTTGTATCAGATTCTACACTTCGAAAATAGTCCTCTAGAACACCAACAGGGGAATTGGAATCCTGCCCTGTTTTTTCCATTTATTGGTTCAACTGAAACCAATATTATCAGTAATTTGAGTTGAGAAATACTGAAATACAGATTGAAATTAAAAATATGAAGAACATAGTAAATTTACCTTGGGATGAAACAGATTTTCAATGAAAGTGAGATCAAACCTACTACTTTGAAATTCAATGTGGTGGGGTACTGAAAATTGAAGAAAAGTTAAGATTATTGGTAGAGTAAAATTTAGACAATTTAATATGAATAAAAACAAACAAACATTAACAATATATAGCAACGTAATAAGTAATTTTGCAAAATTATGCAAGGTAAGAAACGTTATTCAAATAAACAAAACAATAAAATAAAAAAATCAATTGAAATATTTTTTTATCAAACCAAAATAAAGTACAAGAAAAAATGGCACTGTATCTTACGCTAAGAGTTTGGATTTACATTAAAAACAACCACATACAAACAAGAAAGACTTGAACGAATGTCAAGAGGAAAGGTTAACTGGCTTAGTTGATTAAAACGTGTCAGTAACACCAAAAACTTGAGATTGAACCCCGTTCATGCTAACAAGAAGCGGTATTAGTAAATGAATATTCAACCACCAAAATATATAGTTTACCAAAAAATATATGAAGAACAAAAGTCTAAGGATAATAATGAACCTTATTGAAGATGACTGTTTAAGAAGTTGCAATGTCAAGCGTAGTGTAAAAGGGGAAATGAATGGTTGGTTGGTTTATATAATGTATATATTATTATAGTATGATAAATAAAGTATTAAGATAACGGTTTTAGATCTTAAATGAAACTGGAATTCTAAGTTAATGTGGTGTCAAGTAATCGATTACATCAATAATTTTCATGATAGAGAAAAAGGTCCTAAATTATAAAGAAGGATAAAATTTTATAGTTTATGTTAGAGATAATGGAGGGAAATTATTACATAAGATTTGTGTATTTTTCAAGATTAATAGCACTCGAGTGGTCTGATTTTGTAAGATATACTAACACGTCCAAGTAACACCCATTAAATGAAAAAAAAAAAAAAACACCCATTAATTGAAAAAAGAAATGTATACTTTCTGATAAAGAAACATTAAATTTCATCAACAACTAATTAATGTTTGTGTTCTAACTTCTAACGCTTAGTATTAAGCCTAAAATATAATAAAGTTAGTTAAATATTTCCCGTCAAAAAAAAAAAATAGTTAAATATTACAAGATTTGTATTATCAGACTTATCACAAGTTTTATTAAATAATGTATAAATAAAAATTTATAATTGATTTTAGAAATTAAAAATTATGAAAATTTGTTAAAAAAAATAAAAACCTTTTAAATGCATCATTTTGCAGAAAAAAACATTTTAAAAACTTTATTGTAAAAGAAAACCTGAACTTAAAATTTTTTTGTTTAAAACAACCCAGTAACACTAATCCACATAATTAATATCTAATTTCTTCTAATCACTCCATAACTCTTACTTAACTATATAATAATTAAAGTAATTTATAAATATAATAATAAAATAGAAAACCATCACCCCACAACCAGACAACCACCCTTTCCTCCTCCCCTTGCAGCAGCCCCCACCCCCGGCAACCCAACTCCACCGCTGGTCGATCCCCCTCCTTTTCCCCTTTCCCCCGTTGCAACCCTCCCCCTCCCTAAACCCTAGCAGCAGCCACCAATCGCCATAATCATTATCGCATAACCCAATTCCATGTCTTCTACGCCGCAATCACCGCCACAAACAAAGTAGAAAATTGTCGAGGTGTTCTTATGCACTTATCTTCTCTCTCCTCGTGGTATGTTCTTACCCTTGACTATTCTAAAAATTTTGAGGCTCTAGATAATAGAGATGGTGGTTTTCGTGGTTGAGGAGGTGCATAATTGGAGGATTGGGGTTTACGGGTTTGGAAGAAACTCAAGATAGGGTTAGGAAAGGGGAGAATGAAGGGTTTGTGGAAAGCCACCATTGTTGAAGGCATTGAAGGCTAAGGATAGAGAAAAAGAGAGATTTAAAAAGAAGGGGGTTGCTGCCATGATTTAGGGAAGGAGGGAGGTGGTCGTCGGGGATAAGGGATGTTGCCTGGGGAGGGGAAAAGGTGGTTGACCGGTGGTGGGGTGGTGGTTTTCTATTTTTTTAATTATAAATTAATTTAATTATTAAATAGTTAATCAAGAGTTATAAGGTGATTAGAAGAAATTACACGTTAATTAAGTGAATTATTGCTACTAGGTTGTTTTAAACAAAAAAATAATAATTGTTTTGGGTGATTTTGTCCCTCGGGAGAGTTACGTCACAAAGATTGGTCCGGCTGAGCTGTACCTACAAAACAACGGAAACTTCGGATGGTTGGAGCTCCGCCTCCGAAGATCAAGTTAGTAAATTGAAAGGGAATAAAGAGTACGGAAATTTAGGTGGGGATCTGCTTGGATTCCAAGCTCAGGTGTTTCTCTGATGAGAGAGAATGTAGGTGTAATAAATGATTGAACGTGTCCCCAAAATGGGGAAATATCTCCCTATTTATAGGGTCTTTGGAGAATGTGCCCCTATCTAGGTAACTTGACCTAGATTTTAGTGGGATGCGCCGCTTTACGGCGCTCTTAGGGATTTGGGCCCTTGAAGGCCCCCACTTCAGAGGCTTGTCCAAGGGGGCCACGTGTCAAGAGGGTATTGGGCCACTTGGGCCATCCTGAACTCACCACGTGGCCTTCTCTCATTGGTCCACGTGTCTAGGGTATTTTTACCCTAAACATTTGCCCCTCACAGGGGTCACGTGCATATCACGTGGGGCCTGTGATACGTGTTCACCTATCAGAGGTGAACAGTAACGGATAGTAAAATTTGAATTTCAAACAGGGATTTCCCCCGTTTTCACCTTCTATAAATAGAAGTTTATCCCCCCTTTTTATCTCACCTTATTTTCATTTGACTTTTTAGAGAGAGAAAGAGAGAGATTTTAGAGAGAGATCCTCTGCCTCCGTCTGCGTCAGAGTTTTCAGGATTCCCGTGTGCTAGCGTTGTAACACTCGGTTCACCGACTGTAGCTGTTTTCAGATTAATCAGAGCTAAAGTAAGGTAACCTCCTATACCATTTTAGCTTTTCTCCTTTTTGACTTGTATACATTCTTTTCCGCCTGTATACATAGTTTTAGAAATAAAAATGAGTTCTCAATCCACACACTCGGCACTGCCTAGGACACTCAGCCGGTCCCCCGAAACGACTTAGTCTAGAACAGGGGGGTGCCTTTTATGGACTGTCAGAACCGATGTGCTCATCTTCGAATTCCTCTCTCTTTGTGTCTGTGCAGGACACAATGGCCAGAATGAAACAGACGACCAGAAGGTCTAGGAGCCGGCACACTATATTAGTTATAGCCAATGAGGTTGTTCTAGACGGGGAACAGAGGGATTTGGAGGAGAGCGGTTCTGAAAAGGCTCCCTCTACTTCCGGGAGCTCGGGGGTACGAGAGGAAGGCGCTGAGGAAGCCGCCTCCTCTAATGGAACCGGCGATGATGAGGCCGGTGAAGGGTCAAAGGTCGAATCTTCTAGCTCTGACCCGGATAACTTTGCGGCTGACTATCAGCAGCCGCCTAAAGTCGCTGACCACCCTAACCCCAAAAGGATTAGAATGTTGTCGGGTGACATTGCACTACTAAAGAGCGGCTTTAGGGCTTTTAAAGAGAAGCACCCCTTTGGAAAGGGGTGGGATATCATCGTCCCGCCTGTTGACGCGGTAATGGCGTGGGACGATGACATCGATAATGCAGACCATTATTTCGTCTGCTACGAGGCGGTCATAGAAGCCGGCCTCCAGTTCCCCCTCCATACCGGGATTAGGAAAATCCTGAAGGGGTATGATTTAGGAGTTTGGCAGCTCACCCCCAACTCGTGGGTGAACATTTTGAGTTACATCGCCGCCTGCGAGCTCTAGAATATAAATCCCAGTTTCTTCGCCTTCGCTCATATGCATTATTTGAGCAAGGCACCAGGCGGACATGGGGCATGGTACACTCTTTCCACCTTGCCCCAGTATCTGATGAGTTTGGACAAGGTGTCCAAATGGTCCGAGTGGAAAGATAAGTTTTATTTGATTTCTTCTCCAACTCTGAGACACAACCGGACTGTTGATGTTTAAAGGTTTTGATGATGAGGAACTTAAAATACAGCAAACTCATTTAATAAAGGTTTTTCAAGTGTTTGTTTAGTTTAGGTGAAATTGATCTTGGATATGGAAGAAGTAACTGTAGCTAAGAAGACTTGAAGAAGTTCTTTATTCAAGAAGGTTATTCGAAACAGAAGAAGTGTTCCCTCACAGGAACTGAGTTCCCTAACAGGAACGTTCCTTCACAGGAACTTGAAGATGGCTGGCTAAGATCTTTGGAGGAACTTAGTAAGCATGGAGCCCAAGTAAACCTACCAGTATAGGAGCGCAACGCAGCAATGACTTAGTTAAGATTTTATCTTCTAGATTCATTGTTAAATATGTTAAGTAGGATATGCATGAAGTCTATTAGAAGCGTGGCAAGTTAGCTTGGCAAATAAATTAAAATCGAAAAAGATAAAAGATAGAATTTGAGAAAGATTTTCTTTAAATGTTTATTTCTTAAAATCAGTTTGTTCAAAAGATATTATGCTTTTTAACTCAATCTTTCTATCTTATTTTTCTGGAAAAGATTTTCTTCTAATGATTTACATAAAAACCGTGTATAAAGATAAGTTAAGTTTAACTTATTTATCTTTAAGAAAACCTACTTTCTATACGAGTAATACTTGTATAAATAGTAGAGGACAAAAGGAGTTTAGTTTTTGTGTGATTTTATGCGTGAAGAATTTACAGAGCTTTAATTGTAAGTTTGCCAAGCTTATCATCTTGTCATATTAGTTTCGAGTTTCATGCATAGCTTGCCTATCATATACTAGGTGTCATTACTTGTAATTGGTTGAGGTTATTTGGGTGAGAGTGTTTTTGTTATCTTTGCATACAAAGAGAGAGCTTCTGGTGAGAAGTTGAGAAGAATTGTACTTAGGGAGTACAAGAGAAAGTCTAAGTGTGGGACTTAGACAAGGTAGGATAGAATCCTATTCTGTAGCAAGTTTGTTCAGGAACTTGTGAGTAGAGGTTTGATTATAATAGGTTGTAACTTGGTGTCTGCCCTATTATAGTGGAATTGTTTGTGTTCGAAATCCTTAAGGTAGGGTCGAGGTTTTACTTCTAGTTGGGCACTAGAAGGTTTCCTCGTAAAATCCTGTGTGCATTGCAAGTTCCTATTTTATTCTGTTTTATATTTGCAAAAAGTAGTCACTAGGAACTCAACTACAATTCACCCCCCTCTTGTAGTGTTCGTCTCAACTAACAATTGGTATCAGAGCAAGGTTCTCACGTGCAAGCAGATAACTTTGCTGAGTAAGTTCCTGGAGAGATGAATTATAAGGAGAAACTTGAAGAAGGGTACTCAACCCAACGTCCACCTATGTTCAATGGTAAGTTCTGTGCCTAATGGAAGAACAGGATGGAGATCTTCATCAAGGCTGAAAATTACCAGGTTTGGCGTGTTATTGAAACTGGTGATTTTGAAATAACTGCAACCAATGACAAACATGAG